CTCCTTCGCAGAACTCTGCTCCAAAACCAGGGGGATACGAGAAGGAGAGCAATAAATTGCCTGTCTTCACAGCCAGATCCATAAGCCAAGGAGCAGTTTCTCACATGGGAGACGGTGGGAGTCCTGCCAAGGGAACAGCACGGAGGAGGGGGTTGGCTGGCTCAGTCACTTTGTCAGTTGCAGGGGGTCCTTGCCCTGTGCAGAAAATATCATCAGAAGCTGACAAAGTGACTGAGCCAAGCTGACTCCCTTACAGCCACCCACACCCCTCATCTTGCCTCTTTCCAGCAATGTGTGACATTTACTGCACTCTTTAAAGAGCATCACAAACCCCACGATATTCTGTGCTTTGAGGCACAGTGGTGAAGTTGCACGGACACGAAGATCTCTGCAGCATCGGCCACAAGAAGAGTCCAAAATGCAGACAGAACCGGCGGCCGACTCCCTCCACAGTTTTAGAAAACTGTAGCTATCACGCACCGGGGTCCGGACGGCATGGCAAAGCAACAAGGGTAAGCCACTGCCATGGTTTCTTGTGATGCGCCAATCCAGGCCGAGTCCCCATTGCTCTGCTGGCTGAGACAGGCCGCGTGGCCAGCAGAAATATCATGTCTGTACATGGAAATGCCACTGAATGGCCCAGCAAAGGCGGGGATGGGGGGGGGATGAAAATAGAGGGCTGCCCTGTTCCATGAACTTTCATACTTTGAATTGCCACTTGTCGGCCCTTGGAAATCATCATTTTATCGTTTTTATACTTCGATGCAAAACACTCAGGCTGCAGATAGATAGATAGATAGATAGATAGATAGATAGATAGATAGATAGATAGAGATAGATAGATAGATAGATAGATAGATAGATAGATAGAAAGAAAGCTCTGACAGTCTCTTTTCTGCATGCAGTTGTATTTGGACACACATCAGCCTTCAAAAGGCTCTTGAATCAGCACCATTAACAAGGGGGATCTGTTTTGCATGCATGGAGCTATTGAGAGGAAAGAGGGCTCTTTACCTTGGGACCTTTTACCTCGAGGCCTTTAACCAGGCCATTGCATAATTTTGCAGGGGAATCTCCTAGTGTCTATGCAATAAACTCCACTGAAAAGCCAGAATGCATTTCCCTTTGGCATGCCCTCCCTTTCTCCTGTCTTCCACCTAGGAGCTGAAGTTATCTCTCAGCCAAGCTCCATCTAAAGGGCAGGCTGGCATTAAAGGCAAGCCTGACAGTAAACATTACCATTTCAACCACCACCAAACCAAACAAACAAATATGATTTTTCCCCTCCAGGGCGCTCACACGTTCAGGCTCAATAACCCTGAAAATTGGAGCTATCAAACTGTTAAACGCATCGATCTGTTAAATCAACTCCCACTGTATTAGGCTAAGTTTAGGCCTCAACTGAACAGCAGCTGTTTGGACCTAATCCCCTGAATTGCTCACTCCACTCAGTATGGGAGCCACTTCTTCCCTTGATCTGGTCTGGCCAAAGGGACGCGCTCGACGTACACAAAGATGCACACGCCACTCAGCCTTCACCGCAGTGTCAAAGATCGCATCCTCCCAGAGAATTGCATCCTCCCGGAGAAAACGTAAAGTCATCACGTTTAGAAGCAAAGTCTCCAACCTGCTTTGAACAGTCCCACCAGCCTGCCAGCCAGAGGCGTGGTTGCTCATCGCGGGCAAAATCTTTCATTCCAGAGATGCAAAATAATTCCTAGCTGGTGTTTTCCCGAACTGCTCAGAACTACCTGCAACATGCTTCTGTTGGCCTAGCGAAGGAAAAACAAAACAAAAAAATCAGACTCGGGACTTGTGAAATCTTCAAAGCCTCATCAGCACTGCTGCATCTTCTTTCTCTAATTAAGGATACAGACAATTAGCTCTTTCCTACAGTAGCTCTTAAAACCAACTGGGTACTTATCACTTCCCAGTTTGGATTGCATTGCGTTTTCTAGTCTCAGGACAAGAACATCCCAAACCAAACATCAGTCCATTTAGCTCAGTCTATTTAGGGCCGGAACTCCCTGGAATTTCAGACAGAATTGAGACGTGTGGCTTGTCAGGGAACTTTGGCATCCTGACATATATTTTAGAGAGAATAGAAGGACACTGCCCTCTTCTTTTCTCTACCATCCAAAGCACTTGAGTTCTGATTAGCTCTAGAGACAGATTTTGTTAATTGCTAATTAAAAGGAGCAGGGCGAGATCTCCATTGCTTTATTAATCCAGCATGCTCTGCAAAGCCGAAGACTCTTGTCCCACAAGGCTCAGAGTCTAAACTGTGTCTGCAGTGGGCTTCCTTGGACACTGTTTTATGACAGAAAATGGAGGGTGAGATTCTGTAGCTTATGCTTTAAAGACCCCTTCGTCCATCCCTCGCTTTGTTATTGTGTTGTGTTGTAGAAAAGTTCTGTGAAACTGAAAAATGTAATGTAAAATAGTTCTAGCAGAAATGAATTGCATTAGTTCTTTTCATTCTGGCTTGGATTTCTTTTCCCCAGTGGCCTCACGCAGCTCCCTCTCTGTGATTTACAATGGGGTGGCTGGCCCAGAAAAGAACATTTGTCAACTCCTTATTAAGTTCGACTAAGACTGGAGAAGCAAGGGGAAACCCTCTTAGGCTGAAGGCATCGCTCTTTTTAAGGATTCTAGATCAGATCCAGGCTTAATCATACAGTACATCCACTGGAAATCAAGAGAACTTTAGGTATGGTTAACATATCTTGTTGACTTTTCATGGGTCCCCTTGGACTAAAGGTTTAAGGTGCAATTCTAGGCACATTTAGACAGAAAAAGACCTGCAACTCCCAGGGTGTCCCAGCGAGTCATGCTGCTCAGACCCTTTTTCTATCTAAGCATGTGCAGAGTTGCACATTAACTCTGGGACTGGCCCTTCTATTCCGGAAAGCAGTTCTGGGAAAGACCTTTGCTTGAGAAGCTGGAAAACAGCCCCTTCTGGTCTGTACAGACCAGAGGTAGGAAAACAGTTTGGGCCTGTTGGTGCATCAGGCAAGTTGAGAAATTCTAATGGACGCGACTGCAAAATGGTTCTCTGATCACAAAGGACTAGTAACAAGGCAGAAGTGGGGTTACAGTAAGCATGTCCTTTGAACCTATTCTTCAGGGTCTTTTTCTTCCCGGCTTTGTTTTTTTGGTGCCTGGGAGTGCTGCAGAGGAATGTATTCTTGGCAGCTGCCTACAGCCTTGGTTCCCTAAGAACGTCTCTTGGTATCGTCATGTAATCCAGAGCCATTCATAAGAAAAGAGGGTAGCCGGTGGAAGCCCTCTTTGCTACAGAGCAATCACAGCTCCTCTCAGAACACCTGCCAGTGAAGAGAGACGTGGGAGGATTTGGGCATCTCCACAGGTGGCAAAAATGGTCGCCTGAAGGAAAAACAGCACCTGTGCGCACAGCACTTACCCAGGTGTGGCCTTAACGGACCAAAGCGCCGGGCTAACTTTAGGCTGTTTCCAAGAATGTTCCTACTGCAAAATGAAGCCCTTTCCTCTCTTCCCTTCACCAAGGGCCCTTTGTAAAAGCTCCATTCTGTCAAGCAGAAGTGCTACATCCAAATGACAATGCCACCTCCTTCAGCAACTCCCTTTCCAGGCAATAATGTCCGAGCCAAGAAGCCTTGAATGGCCTCGCATGTTAGGGTAGAGTGCTGTTGCAGCAGGAGGCTCAGCAGGAGGCTCAGATCGCCAGCACGCCTGCATGCCCGGCCAGCCCTTCAATCCGGAGTTTGTGGTTTTCCATGTTCACCAAAGCTCCAAAATGCGGGGAAGTTACAGCTGGTAAAGGCCATGCCGTGAGCAGATGTGCCGTTTAGGCTGCGCGCTCACAGACGCAATCGTTTCGGCATTACCGCTCGGTGCTGGCTGTCAGCGCCGGGCCTAAAACCTAGATTTGTCTGTCTGCTGGAAGACACACAGAAAACCGTGCCACTGCCTTCCGTAGCACAAACACCACACCGGTAAGCAACACAGCAACACGGATTTGGCTGAACTTTAAGTTCCTATAAATAAGCAATTTCTTGCTCTTTCTCCTTCAATATCGGCATGGATCATCCTAGAATCCACCTTTCCTGTGTACCTGGTTACAAATCAGCCTGTGTTTGTGTGGAAGCCGCAGAAATGATCGTCTCCCAGCCCTCAACGTCTGGTTGTAATGGTGCGGCTGACTGAGAATCCAGGGATGAAAGGGCCGCTTTTGCAGGCTCACACAAGGAGGTTAGGACGGTTCGCCAGGCGCTGGAGATGCCTGCTGCTCAAGGTCTGGCAAAACGGATGCCATGGACCCAGGAATCCTGCCACCCGGTGCTCTCCATGAGACAAGACAATAGAGCACACAGACTTCACACACGTTCCCAGGAACAGACCGGCTTGACATGTAGCCAGATTTTGGCAGAGACTTGTGGTTTGGGTGGTTCTGCGAGGGTGGGCAGTGGCGCCTGTAAATCAGCTGGTGCCCTGCGGACATGCTTAACTGCCATTCCCATCACCCCCAGCCAGCATGGGCAAAGGGCTGGGAAAGGCTGACCTCTATGGTATGCACTGCAGGAGAGTTTATATTTTGGGCTCCAGAGCCTGTGCAGAAAGAGACTTGGCCTCCACATACACCCCTCCTGGGGCACTGCCCCTCAGTGTCACCAGGTGAGATGAGACAGGGCTGCTGTGAAGCGGCGCTTGTGGAAGGGGAGAAAGGAAAAGGGAACAGACCAGCATGTGACACTGCTTTGGCACTCCATAAACTATAGGCTTTACTTCTGGAAGATGGAATGATGGCCCCAATTTGGATAGTTCTGGAAGGGGGGTGGTGGACAAAATCACGGAGGAGAAGGCTGCTAGTCCTCATGGCCCTAAGCGACCGCCAGTGTCAGGGGCAGTGTGCTGGGGAGCACAGGTGCTTACGTCCTGGATTTGTGTTTCTCAGTAGGGCAGCTCGCTGGGGAACAGAATGCTGGGTCAGATGAACAAGGCACTTCTTAAGACAGAAATACGCTTCTTTCTTGGACATCAATTTATTTTAAAAAAGACTAAGGAAGAAAAGGCGTTATTTAAAAACAAACACAAAGTCAGGGTGAGAAGGGTGGAGACGAATCTGGACACTCACAAGCAGGAGAAGAGGCGGAGAAGGAGCAAGGACTGTGGGCATGACAGAAGCTTGGGACAGCTATTTACACATCGGGGGGAAAGGCCTACAAAAGCTGTAATACTGAGATAAAAATGTATATATAGTGGCACCAACAGATTATCCACAAAGTAACAGTACCCTCTGAAAACAGTACAGTCCCAAAAGAAAAGGAATCGTCTCTTTTTCACTGAACACACTCTCGCACACACAGGGGTTTTAAAAGGCAGCTTGTGGTCATGCGTTCAATTCTGTGTGTATCACAATGTACAAAAAATTTGTCAGTTTGGCAAAGGCGTGTGTGGGGGGTGTCGGCTGGGGGAGGCGGAAGGCTCACACGTGCATTTGTCTGAAAGAGACGGGGAGCAAGATAATTAAAAGTGATTAGTGTTGATGATCCACAAAAGAAGGGGTTGCTATGAAACAGTGGGAGCGGGGCGGTTAAGAGAAAGGGCAGCTCTCTTTTATTTTTATGAGTTTTTATGCCTTGCCTTTTCATCTGAAAGGACATAAATTGCACGGCTCATCGGCTGGACTAGTGTTAAATCGCTGAGCAGGGCTTTGGTCCACAACTGAACAATTGTCAGGAATATGGGCTTGCAGGGCTGCCGTCATCCCCTGAGGAGCGAGGAGCCGAGGAGGAGGCCAGCGTGGCTTGCGGAAGAAGCCCAGCGGTCGTTCAGCAGCAGGGGCCGAGTTATTCCTCTGTGTTAAGAGCCTTTCTTAATAAATATTTGTTCTTTTGATGAAACTGCTCCTGGCTCGACCTTCCATGCGCATGGTGTGACTAGTATGCCGAAATTCTCTCTCTGTGAAGATGGGGAAGGGCCACCTGGCGCGGAAAGCTAGCATGTCAGGGAGAAGAGCCTGACATGCTTGTTTTCTATGTGCAGGGATTTTTAAAAACGTGTTCCTTTGGTATCGCTGTGCACTCTGAAGAAGTCCAGTCCGGGAGCAGTTCTACCTTTGTGGAGAACCTTTCAATGAAAGGCGTTTCAGGGGTTCCGCTCAGAGCAAGCCCAAAGGGTGCTGCTTCCTTCCTGGCCTGTTTCTTCTGCCCGCTCTGGATGGCCCACCTGCCACTCCCTCCCACTTCCTTCCATGCTGCAGGCGCAACCAAGCCCAGGGCAGAAGACACGGCCCAAGGGCACCCCTGGCGTTTTTCCTTCGGAGCTTTTGGTCAAGGGGCGAAGAAGCTGCCAGGGGTTCTCCCAAGAGGTGGTGGCCGGATCCAATGGGATTAAACCTGCTCCTGCCCCCAGCGAGGCAACGGTGGGGTCCAGGCAGAAGGGTTTGGTCAGGCAGCACTGAATTCCAGGGGGTTTGTCTCAACAGCCAGATACTTAACCAGGTGGACCAGCGAGATCCCAAAACTGGGCACGCTGGAAAGGGGAGGCTCCCACGGGATGGATGTGGTACCTCTCCCACGTTTCCTGTGCAGGTACCTTCGTGGCAGGTGCACATGTGCCAGGTGTCCCTGAGGCAGGGCACTGACCCACCTGAGGAAGCCAGGCCGGAGGGGGACGCCTGAGAAGAGGCGGCCCCGTGGACGGGCGCTTTCGGGCCCCCGTGAGCCTGGGGAGTCATTTATTGCTAGCAGGACATGGGTGGGGGCTGCCGAGGGACGCATCTCCGGGGCACTTCTGCTCAAGCAGGTGACTCAGCTGGCTCTTTCTGAGACCAAGTAATTTCTCGGAAAGAAGCAGGGAATGTGTTGCATCCTTTGCACAGGAAGGCCAGGAGTGGGGCGGGGAGAGGCCAATGGTTCACCCCCACAACAGCCATTCCCTAGTTCTAACCCTGGGAGCTGGAGGGAGGGGAGAGGGCCTGGGGGTGGGTGGGCATTGCCACCAGCAGGCACTGCTGGGGCACGTGGGAGGAAGGCAGGTGGCGGCACTGGAAGGGGCCCCCACCCCGGTGCAGGCGGCATCCGCCAGGCCCTGCTTCCAACGAAAAGCTCAACCCAGAGGGAATAAAATATGAACAGGCGTGTGAGAAATGAAGCACCCTCGACATGTTAAGACTCACTAAATCCCCCCAGGCAAGAACCCTGCACAGATAAGAGGATTTGAGTATGTGAGAAACGGCACGGAAACGGGAAGCGGGTGGGGAGGAAGCGTCCTGCAATCTCTCACGGAGACTCTGGCTTCCCAGCGAGGCTTGAAGTGAAGAATCGGGGGTGGCCACCCCGATAGCCAGGGCGGCCTGAGGAAAGGCAGTGGTTCAGGGGGGCCATGGGACCCCCCCAAATCCAAGCCCCCCAACTGCACATCTCACTGGGAGGGAAGGAAGCTGCGTGGTGCAGCTCCGGCTGATTTCCACGTGGTTTGCAAGGGAGCCACTTGTATCCCATGTGATTTCTTCCTTTCGCCCCACGCACGGGAAAGTCCTGGGCCAGCCCACACCGAGGTCCCCCCAAGCCCCACGTTGGCGCTGGATGCCACGGCGAGCCTGTGGCCGGCTGCGGACACTCGGCTCTGGCAGGCTCCTGCTACCTCTGGACGATGTCGCTGATTTCTTTCACGGAACTGAGCAACTTGCTAAAGTCCTGCGTGGCCGCCGGGCCGCTGCCGGCCGTGGCGGGGCAGATCTGCAGCTCCCGGAGGTTGTTCTCCAGTTTGTTGATGGCCTCCCGGAAGGCAAACTTGTTGCGCATCTGCTGGATGGAGTCCACGTAGCTGGCACAGAAGGTGTAGAGGTTCTTGCCCGCCTCCAGGACGGCGCTGTGGCTGGCCATCTGCTCGGAGTTTCTGCTGATGGCTGTCCGCAGCGCCTCGGCGCTCTCCAGCACCGTGCCCTTGGTGACGGCGCCGCTGGCGATCTTCTCGGGCGGCTGGCGGGTCTTCCGCAGGGAGACACGGGTGGAGATGAGGGGGATGAAGGCCGTGCAGGCGGGCTGCTCTGCGCCGGCGGGCGAGGAGGTGGCGGGGGCTGCGAAGGGCGAGGCGGGCGAGGGGGCGGCCGTCATCAGCAGCAGCTTTGAGGAGGACGGGGGCTTTGGCGCGGAGGAGACGGCCGGCTTCTTCCCCCCCCTCGGCTAATGGGCTGGGCTTGGCGGTCTCGGCACCGGCGGAGTCGGGGGCCGGGTGCTTGCCCTTGGCCGGGCCCCCCTCGGGCCCGTCATGGCTGGGCCCGAGAGCTGCCTTGCCGCCTTTGCCGAGGGAAGAGGCCGAGGAGAGCGGGGGTGGCGGGGCCGGCTTCAGCTTGGCGTGCTTGCCCTTCTCCTTCTCCGAGGCCTGCTTGGCCTTCCTCAGCCGAGGCTCCTCCGCGGAGGCCCTGGCCATGCTGGGGAGGGCTCCGACCCCGGCTCTGGCCGCCGAGCCCTGCTCCATGGCCGCCCCCACCCCTACTGCACCGGGCTTCACAGCATCCTCTTTGTATCCGAGGCCCACAGCTGGCGGGACGGGCGGCTGCCTCCGGCCGAGTTTTGGCGTCAGGGTGGGGGGGCTGGAGCCCGGGCTGGACTCCACATCCCTCGGCGTGTCCTCAGGCACTTCCTCGCTTTTCTTGAGCAGCCGAGGTGGCGGGGTGGCCGCCCCCTTGGCAGCCAGGTCGGCTTTGGCCTCGCTCGCCCGCTTCCGGGGCAGAGCCGGCTTCTCGCTCTTGTGCCCCCCGAAGGTGGAGGAGTCGAACTGCCGCCCCGTGGACTGGGGGTTCCGGGGAAGCGTCACGGACTTCCACTCGGTGTCCCTGGCCCCGTGGGGCACGCAGGAAGCCGAGCACGAGCGGAGGAAGCGCTTGCTGGCGTTGGCGCCGCTCTCTTCTTCGCCGGGCCCCGGACGGCTATTCGGGGTGGGGCCGGACTTCTTCCAGAGGTGGGGGGACAGCAGCCCCGAGTTCCCCGCCACGGTTCCGTTGGCGACCCCAGCCTCGTTGCTGGAGGTTTGGAACCTGGCGCGGTCCTCTAAGTCCAAAGGGTGGGCGCCCAGGACCCCGTTTCCACCCTCTTTGCCATCCTCCTCCCCGCCTCCTTTGCGGTCCGGGTGGCTCTCGGCCTCCCGGAAGGAGCTGCTGCGCTTCGGAGGAGTCGGGGCCAGCTTCTTCTTCTTCTTGATCAGGGCACTGAAAAGGTTGGTCTTTTTGTCTTTCGGCAGCAAGCGATCGTCCTCGTTCAGGCCGCTCTCCACGTTGACCCTTTCCTTCCGCGGCAGCAGAGGAGAGACCGTCGGCTCGTGCTCTGAGGATTCTGCAGGGCAAGAGAGAGAGAAAGTGGGAGAAAGAAACAACGGGATGGCCTTTTACTTCACTGAATCCCCAGTCATTTCGCCTCACGGGCCCTTTGTCTGGAGGCTGGTTTTGAAAGCAGCATTTTTCCTGCTTATGGTTTCGATAATGAGGAGGAGGAGGAGGAGGAGGAGGGAGACAACTTGGCATTTATGTCGCTTCCCCCCCCCCCAAGTGCTCAAAGTGCTTTGCATAAATTAAGTCGGCAACCCCTATTAAGGCACAGCAGATCTGGGAGAAAGGGGGCGGAGGAGGCTGCTGGGATGAGATTCCCAGCTGCATGCGAGAGACGGCTGGCTTTGGTGGGAATGCGAGCTCGGACTCTGGGGAGGATGCGGGGGGCAAATGGCTGGACCAGACGTGGCTCAGAGTTCACACTTGGTAACGGAGCTGTTGCTGCGACTGGCAGGCCCGCGTCCAGCCAAGCCCTGCCCTCGTTCCAGCCTGAGGCGGCTCTGGATCAAAGGAGTCCAAGGACAGCCTTGGGGCCTCGTCTCCCTCCCGCCTGTGGGAACGAGGCAGACGAAGGGCGGGAGGGGAGCCATCCTCATGAGCCCCCACAGGACGGGGACGCGAGGGCCTGTCGTCACAGCCGCCGGCCGGACCAATCAGGAGCTCAGCGTGCAGAGAGAAGGCACACGTGCTTCCAAAGCACCGCCTTCCAGAGTCCGGCCCCGAGGGGTCCATAAGCAAAGCTTTGGGTAAGGGGGGGCAGAGAGGGGTCAACCCTTCTCCTCGTGTCAGCTCCGAGGCCTGTGTAGGAGAGAGACTGTTCCAGCAATTGCTGAAGTGCCCTCTTGCTTGTGAGGGGACGCCTGGCTCATGGCGGCTGCACGACTGAAAAACACGCAGGGACGGCCTGGCTGGGAACAGTGGAAGACGAGCTTGTTTCATGCAGGAGCAGCCACCTGAGGGCCTGGGAGACGGCCATCCGGGCCCTCCATGTGGCTAGCCAAGAGGGACCCCTGTGGCTTGTCCCAGGGAGTGCCTCAGGAACTATCAAGGGATCTTCACAGTGCGCCCCAAGGGAAAAAGTTAGGTCGGTACCCACGTCTGCTCTGCAAAAGCTGCCCGCTCTGCCAAAGGAAGACGAATGATGGGGAATTCAGAGGAAGGGAGGACTCTTTGGCCCAGAAGTATCCTTGGAGGTAGCTCACCTCCCAGGGGCCATGCAGGCTGATGTGTCACCACTGGGGGGCGGGGGGGGGAACAGTCCAGGGACAACAACCCAGTCCTGGATATCTAATCTCTCCCTGCTTGCCGTCTGGAAAGCTTTGCACGAAGTGAGCTTCCTGTTGACCTCTGGCCGTCGAGATTCAACACGGGGCGCTTGTGGCTCTGTAAAAGCCTCCCTGGTTTATGGAGAAGCAGCTTTCCCTGGCCAGAGACTGTCCTCTGGTATGCGCCAGGCCTTCTGGCCCACAGATGTTCCTGCCACGGGACGTCAGTTCACACTCATGGTGCCAAAAGACTCCGGCTTTGCTGCAACCAGCTCAAACTGCTAAGCCACCCTGGAATTTGGTACAATGAAAGGCACCCGCTGCTTCAAGCAACGGGTTGAAAGGCTGTTTAATTTCATGGCAGATTTAAAAAAAAATAACCTCATGGTGCCCTTTGTCAAAATTGTATTTGGTACCTGCCAGAAGTGATACTCTTCAATGCTCACTGAAGAGATGCCCAATCCAAGGGAGGCCTGAGGAGAGAAGGCGTATCTGACCCTGAAATCCACTCAAGAGGGGAAGACGGGAGGAGAGGAGTTTCTCTGCTTGGGCCCAGTGCAAGTGACGTGCCCCTTGTCCAGCGTCCACGGAAGGCAAAGTGCACCTTGCCCAAAGGTTGGATGCTGCGTTGTTTTGCTATTTTATTGTTCTTTATTGTAAGCCGTCCCGAGATGTCAGAGTGGTGGACGGGGTATACAAATTTTTAATCAATCAATCAATCAATGTGCTGCTGGAAGTGATGCCAGGCCCTCTAAACGCCATTTCCCAATCCAGGTCCCCAGTCTCTTTGGCTCAGTGCGGACAATTGGGATTTCGAGCGGACACTCTGCTCTCCCGAAATGGCCACCAGACACTGATTTCCCAGCAGGCAAAGCAGCAAAGCTACAAAAAGAGCCCCTTCCCCAGTGACTGACGTACGAAGGGAGGCTGGTGCGATGCTTAGCCCCACAAAGCCAATCTTTTGAAGCGATCTTCCGTTTTCCCTGCAGGTGAATTCAGGATTCATTCCACTGAGCCAAGAGTCATCTCAATCGTTTCTCCTCCCTGATGAAATGCAGGATGTGAGTTCCATGGGCAGCAGCGCAACTTTGTGTTCCTAGTTTCTCCCACTGAGAAGCATTTTGGGGGTAGCCAGGAAGCCGTTGCATGCCTACTGAGTCAGCACCCAGCTCTGTCCAGCTGAGTCCAACCCAAGCTGCTCTGCCTGGCAGCGAGTCGATCCGCTGGCCAGAAGGCAAACTGGAGAATTGGAGGGCAGCTCACTTGGTTTCCTTGGCTAAGGCAGGCCCCCAGACCACAACCAGGCTTAAAATGCGAAATACCAGCTAGGGCTGAGTGGTAAGGCTGACTGGCCACCACCTCTGTGGGTTGCAAAGCGGGAGGGGACATTTTGCTGATACTGGGAATGGGCCTAAATCCGGCTGGGGACACACGGTGTGCTCATTTTCTTTCCTGTTCGGGAAATGCCAGAGCAGTGCCTTGAACTTCCATCCGGCCAATACCATGGGGCCAATGAGACCCGCCCAAAGCCAGAGAGGAGTGAGAGCCAGAGGAAAGTCCCTCACTCCACACTGGCTGCACGGCCTTGACACAAAGCCAAATCAGAGTGGTTCCTCGGGCCTTTTCTGGGTGGCGCATGGGGATGGAGCCGGGGTGTCTTCTGCTAGTGAAGTGAGTAAGGCACTCCTGCGCTGCCAGGAATGCAAGAACGGGAAGCAGTGAAAAAGGTGTTGGCGGGAAAGAGTTTCATGACGATTCCACCCTGCCCATGTTTGAGTGGAAAACACGCTATGAGGGGCTCTTGGCCCTGGATCCAAAGGGGGCACCAGAGCTCTGAACACCCCTGCCTCTTCGGCTCGAGCCCATGGTTCAAGCTGGAACTTACCACATTCCCCCGGGCCTTTGGTGGACGCCGTCTCCAGGCTCTCGTTGGCGTCTTTGCATTCTGCAGCTCTCCTGGATGTTCTTGTTTTGGTTGGCAGTTCGGGAGCTTGCAAAAAGGTGTTGACGGCAGCCCGCATCCCTTTCTTCCCGAGCTCTTTTTCCACCTCTGGAAAGCAAAGGACGATGCGTGAATGGCTGGGGGACACAGTCCCTGGGGGTAACCTGCTGGGGGGCACACACTGCTGGTGGTGGGGAAGGCCAGCTCCAGCCATGGCTGGGGCCAGGGAGAAAAGTGGACGGTCGCCTCGCTCACCGCCTCCTCTCTCCGACCCCCCTTATTCCTCCTCCTCTCCCTTTCTCCAGTTCTTGCCTCAATCCTTTGCAGAGGATTTTCGTAAATACACAGCAAGTGTCTGACAGAAATGGAGCTGTTACTTGAAGCCCCTTGCCCTGTCCCCCTTCCAACTTCACCCAAACACACCCCCATGGCTCTTACCCTTTCTGCTGTCACTTATTACGCCACAATCCTGCACTCTGTGCTCCAACTGCGGTAAGATTCCCATGGGATTATTCTACCCTCTTCTCCACACATATTAGCATTCCAAAGTGGTTTGGTTGCTTTAGAAAGCAGAAGGTTTTTGGGATGAACGATTTCCCCCCAGAATTTAGGTCTTTGCCCTCAGCACGACCATAAGTCATGCCAAGAATGTGGGATTGGCTGGACCCGATGGCCTTCTCGGCCCCTTCCAACTCTGCTATTCTAGGATTCTATGAAAAAGTGACGTACGTTCACCTATGTTTTGTTGCATTTCCCCCAGTAAACTTGTGTGCAGTTGCAGGGTGGGGGGGGGTGGGATTCTGACCATTCAAGGCAAGGATGGAGGTAACAAAAGACAGAGAGGGGTGGGATGGGGTCAGGGACTGGTACAAGGAGCGAAAGAGACCAACAAGGCCCTGCTCTGGGTCTATGATGGAAAAACAATGCATAATATAACTGGGCTTCTCTGGTACATGACATGCCTTCTGCACGGCTGAAACAAAGAAGCGCAAGCTCTTTGGGTCTGTCTTTTTCCTTTTGCTCACATCAAGCAGCATATTCATTTCTGCCGCTTTTCTTTCTCTCTTTAGATTTATATCCTGCCTTGGCCATCAGATTCTCAAAAGCTGTCCCTCGACATTGAACACAGAGGGCTGATGCCCGAGCCCTCGCTTCAGGCGTGGTTCTGGTGGAGGCAAAGACATGCGGAACCTCTTCGCCTCCGAGGGCCAAGCTCCACCTCGAAGACGGCGCTACAGTCGTGGGCAGGGCCAAAGGCACACGGGGCAGACGGGAAATGCCAGCGCCCTCTACTGTAATGCTCTCCCTGCCCATGACTACAGACATTTCACCCTTCTGGAATGGAGCAGCAAAACGAAAAGCCGCAAAGACCATCGCGTGACCAGTAACCAGGGGAAGGAGATGTGCCTGTTTGTGGAACCCCAGAGGGCTAACCTGGCTCCAGACCCTGCCCTTATTCCCAGCACAAAAATATAATCCGTGCCACTGTCCCGTTGGCTCTAAGACACCGCTTGGTGTTGTTAGTGCTTCCCGCATGAAGGCATCACCTGCTGGGAGCTGCCGGGAGCGAACGTAAAAGAAAAAATCCAGGAGCCAAGAAGCAGTCGGCATTCCGTGCTTCCACAGAGTATTCCTGGGACTCCTGGAGCAGGCCCGGGGGCCCAGGGGCTTCTCTCACCATGTGCGCTCATGCGCCATGCATCGTGCTGAAGGGCAGGGTGGGAGTTCAAAGCCCCCACAAAACACAGAGAGGTTATTGTGCAGCATGGCTGACTGATCGCCAGTATTCCAGCTCAGCACACTGAGGCACTGGAGAGCTCATGCCCTGGCTTAGAAAAATAAGTTTCCCGTTGCAGAGGGAGGGAGGAGACATGCGTGGGGTTATGCAGATGGAGCACTCATGTGGAAAACAAAGCACTTATCTTGCCTCCCACAGAGTGAGAATTATCTGTGATGGCACCTACCGTCTGAGATGCTGGATTCTTGAAACATGGTCTCAAATGCTTGGTGGATTTCGGCGAAGGAGGGCCTGTCGGAAGGGCTCCACTGCCAACCTGCAAGGACCGCAAAGCATGAGTGCTTCAGCCCTGATCTTCAACACACACACACATACGCACGCACACACGCACGCGCGAGCGCGCGCACACCCCTCCAGTGCAGGCTCTCCCCTTGCTTAGCTGGAAAATGCACGGCAGAGGCTGCCTCTTGCTCTGCAGCACCTTGCATTCAGGGTTGGAGCTTGGGGTCCAAGCCAGCCCCCCTCCCCACACCACCTGGGAAGGAGGTGGGCCTGAAGGAGCACTCAGGGACCAGCAGATGCAAACTTAGCTGTACGTGCACGGGTCACGACGGAGCTGTGATGTAAGTGAGGTTCGAATGCAAAACGGCACAGACTCAGAACTGTGGTGTTTTGCTTTGGGAAAAAAGGGACCGCAAACAGTTTTGCTGAGACTGTTCTATCGGGAATGCAAAAGCAGTTTTAAGGCATGAGTCAGCCACTGAAGGGGTCAGTGTGTGTATGTGGGGTGGGGGGGTATTTGTGTATTGCAGAACTGAATCCAAACGACCATCTAAAGGGTCGTTTCACAAGACCACAGTCCAAAACTTCCCAGCTGGTCCGCTAAGCCATACCCACCCACCAATAGACAAAGCAGTCAAGTGGCACTGGGTCGCCCCCCCCCCCCCACTGCTTCTTATTCATTCAAAGCAAATAATAAAGAAGAAAGCCCTCTTACTGCCTCCAAAAGCCATACAGAATGAGACAAAGGAAACATTTCTAAAGATCAGTCAAGAGGGAGAAAATGAGGGTGTCAGTGTAGTACAGAGGCGGAGGGGTTGGCAGGTGACTCGGGGGATCTAGGCTCGAGTCCCCGGTGCTTGAACAGGAAGCTCACAGGGTGACTTTGGGCGGGTCAAATGAAATTGTCGTCATGTGGGAAAGGGTGGCCCCCAAAGCCAACACCTCGTAGGCCTGGTCTTTGGAGGACCACTGAGTCTATGCCAACCAAATGCTCTCTCTGAAACTGAGTATAAAGAGACGGTGGCGAGGTCCACAGCAACGGGGAATATACCATTGCAACAGATTCACTGAAATGCGTTCCTGCATTAATTAATTAAATACAAGATCAACACGGTTAGATTTTGCCTTTTCCTTCTCTGCAGGGAATCCAAGGTGACTTGCACTGTTTGATCGTCCTAACGCAACCCTATGAGGGAAGCGGAGAGTCACTGATTGGCCCAAAATTACCCAGTGAGCCACGTGCTTTGAATATGGGAAAGCTGTAGGAGGCGAGGCCGAGGGAACGGGGTCTCTTCGGCCTGGAGGAGACTCAGAGGGGATCTGTTGGCGACATGCAGGTATGTGAGGGGGTGTCACACGGAGGTGGGTACAGACCTGTTCTCCCCTGCAGAGGAAGGCAGGACGCGCTCCAATGGAGCCAAGCTCAGGGAATCCAGGTTCCATTTGGATGCCTGGAAGCACTTCCTGACAGTCGGGACCCCAAGGGTGTGGAATGGGCTTCCACCGGAGGTGGTTGAGGCCCCATCGGTGAGGTGTTCAAAGATAGACTGGACGTGCACATGGTGTGCATGTCGTGAGCAGAGCCGGCTGGAGCCGGGGGTCAGACTAGATGGCCCCCGAGACCCCTCTGACTCGCTCTGTTTCTATGTTTCCATGAATGGGGACCAGAACCCAGATTTCCTGAGTCCTGCTCTAACCACAGCGCCATGCTGTCTGTGCTCCTGTGTTGTGAACCACTTTGGCTTCAGGGAGGGAGAAAGGGGCATGAAAATTAAAAGGGCAATGCTAATGGAGCATACAAACACCCAGGTGTGTAACACCTGACCAGGGTGGGCTAAAATGGTGCGGGAGGGGCATCCAAACTTCTGAGAGGGTTCTGAGAGGCTGAGAAGCTTCCCCTTTTGAGTTCACCTTTTGATTCAGCAGGGAAGTGGGGCGGAAAGGGCAGCCAGCGCTGGAGCAACACAAACAGGGATGCAAAACGGGGAGCCAATGCCATGCCAATGTTCCGAGAGTTGTAAAAAACCCTGTTGGGTAAAGCCATGCTTGTTTTTTTTATTATTATTTTGGAGGAATATGTAGGCGGAATTTCATCTCCTGGGTTCCTTCGGGGCTTAGTAAGGACAGAAGGCTCGGTGGAGCAGCATGTGACTAAAGCTTCTCGCTGGCTCTGTGCCCGCAGGTAGGTACACTTAGGGCTCAGAGCTATCTAGGCAGCTTCAGACTCGGAAAAGCTTCGACTCCCCCAATTCTGCGGAGTCGGCCAGGACCTGAAGGGTTTTTTTCTGCCTAGACCTGCCTAGCAGGGAGAGCCAGGCCACGGAGAATGAGAAGCGGGCAAATCAGCGTACTTCCACTCACCGCGCACACGTGTGCGCGCACACATGTGTGTACGCATGCCACTGGCTATGTCGGTCGAGAACTATCTAAACCATTATGTCCGGGAGCTGCCCCGAGCCTGCCCCACTCTTTCGAAGGGGGAAAGCCAGGACAGGGAGGCCTGGGCCTCCGGAGGGAACTTACAGGCTCTCATGAGCTCGTAGACTTTCTCTGGACAGCCTTCGGGACGCTCCATGCGATAGTCCTTCTCCAGGAGCTCATAGACCTGCGAGAGGTCAATCCCAGGGTACGGAGACATGCCGTAAGTTGCGATTTCCCAAAGCAGGACGCCGAAGGCTGGGAGGGGAAGACAATAAGCACTTTTAAAACAGCCGCTCACATGCATGGCTCAAGAAAACAGGACTGGCTCTGCATGCCAAGTGCCCCGAGTTCCGATCCTGGAACGCCCAGCTCTGGGGAGAGGCTATGGCTCTGCCACGGAGCAGCCACTTTGCACAGAGAAGGTCCCACGTGCAGCTCCCTGAATCTCCATTTAAAAGGATCAGGCAGCAGGAAGGAACCACAGATGCTGAAAAGTCACTCTCAGGCACAAGCAGGCGATATGGCTTCAGACTGGCAGAGGTGGATGCCGTGTGTAGTACACGTCCTTCCAGGATGAGGCAGAGTTATGGCAGAAGAGCAGGGCATAAAGAAGAAAAGGCTTCTGCAACCCTTGAACCCTGTCTCACAAGGAAAGCTGCCCGCAGCCCCTCTGCATGAGTCCCCGTCCTGGTGCCGCTGCCTTTGGGACAGCTGTCACAGTGAGCCGGCAATTCTACCATCTTTCCCCACTCATTTCTGCATGTGCTGTGCCCCCCAGTGCAGAAGCCACTCCCCCCATGAGAGGATGCATCTTTGCACGAGTCTCTTGCACGGGCTCATGTCCTCCCAACCAATTTTACTTCTGGGAGGGAAGGGGAGGGAAGAGAGAGCAAGCCGCAGCTATGAGAAGCTGTTAACATGCAAATTTGCTTCCTGGGGTGGTGGACTCGTCAGGCGCCTCCCCCATCACTCCAGACAAGTCTCCTGAGATATGACAGGGCAGCATTAGCCTAAGTTTCAAGTGACTGGCTTCCTTCCGACCTGAATGCCACAAGTTCCTTCAAGTCCTGTTAAAGGCACAATTAAGAGATGTCTCCACAGATTAGATGAAACCTTTGCCGGGTGCCCAGCAAAGCAGTCTGGCGCTTCTTTCTCTCACCCACCCGACCACCCAGGTCCTCCGACCGCCTCCCCCACATCGGGCCAGTGGCTTCAGAGGGAACTTCTTTGAGTGGAGGGCTCAGCCAAGACCCACAGTGGGCAAAGCAGCAGGTTCGGGGACAAGAAAAGGCTGATTTGGCCCCCGCAAAATGACCCCATTCAGGGGCCTCCAGGGCTGCGGAAGGAGAGACAGCCCGCAGACACGAGACTGTCGGGGGGAGCGGCTGCCCAGTCTCCTTCTGCTCATTCCCGTGCAGCACCAAGGGCAGCCCCGCTCAGTGGGGTGCCCTTCAGAACAGGCAGACTACAATGCCCATCAGTGATAGCTGGGACGCCAACACGCGTGCAGAGCACCACCTGGCAGAAACTGGATCCGTGGCAGCAGAGCTCACAGGTGAGCAGGGCAGAGCCATTTTTAACTGAACACTGACTCTCTCTCTCCCTCTCTCTCTCGCGCACGCTCTCTCCCTGGCCTGTTTTCCCCCTTCTCGTGTCCCCCGTCTTTCCATCCTGGCGACTCGGCCTTTCCTTTCCTTTCCCTTCAAAGAAAGGACTGATTGCCACAATGGTAATCCCTTTGCCTCAAGCGGCGTGGCTCCGATCGGCAACCCCTTTGTGCACACGACATCCGTTTTCCTGAGCCATATCCTTGGCCTCCGCTGCTCAGGTCCTTGCCTGTTTGTGCCTGGGGTCTGACCACAGCTGCACGGCCAGCCCATTTCACCCATTTCTCTAAACAGATGCACAGGCCACGGTGCATCACCCCCCGCCCCCCCGGTTTAATCTGACCCAGAAGCTGCAGCCGGGGTTGGACTGGTGCTGGACGCTTCTAAAGGCCAAAACGCCTCTCCAAGCACATCTCTCCATTCCTAGAAAGAAGAGCCTGAGCTGCAACCGGGACGGCCAAGAGTTGCTCTGAAACTGAGCCTGACCCTCGGGCTGAAAGCGGGCAACAGCACACACACACACACACACACACACACACACGTGCGGCTTTTGGTGGCAGCTGCACCGTGCCATCGAGCTGAGAGGGCGACCGAAGTTGGCGAAATCGGAGGAGATGGAGGAGGACTCTGAAAACGCCACAAACCATCAAGATTGATATTGAGATCCCGCGATCTAAGGTCTGCCCTCGCACTGTCAGTTCAGCAACCTGCGCGTAATTACTTCAGTCATCCCGCCCGTTCTGCCTTAATGCGGAGAGAGCGCCGTTGTCGTCTCGCATAAGGAAGGCCATCACATCTGATTACGCGAGAAATTACCACCGGCCGTGGCAGCTAGCCTTTCCAAGGGTGTCCTTTGTCAGGATGGCTCAGGCGAGGAGGGCGAGGAGGAGGAGGTGGTGGTGACGGGAGGGAAGGAGACCTCAACCCTGCATGGCGACAGCGGCATTGTCCACTCGGGGAAGGACCTGTTCTAACCCAGCCCACCTGCACCCGTAGCCCTTGCAGGCCCTCCCCGCGGCGCGCCTGACCTTCCCTGGCCTCAGTGTGCTGCTCGTGGGGAAGGCCAGGCGGGCGGAGGTGGCAGAGGGGATGTGTTTATGGATAATGCAGGTGAGGGGAAGAGGGGGCGGGCGGGTTTTTAGGATGACTGGCCATCGCAGACGGTGGGGGAAAGACCGAGCCGATTCTGCCACGGTTGTGTAATGTGCACACAGGCCCACAAATAGGGCCGTGACTCAGTGCCAGGGCACTGGACCGGCACCTGGAGAGCAAAGCGCCTGAAGTTCCAAGGACTGTGGAGGTGGGTGTGCGGGTGGCCTCTGACTAGACGGCAGAAGGCTCTGGGCACTTGTGGCCTATCACGTGGTGCTCTGCTCTGCCTGGCAGGGGCTCTCCGCTCATGCCGGCGTCTTTCCAAACTTAGACCCAGCCCGGGACTTGCTGCAAGTCATGCAGGTCTCCTCCACTGAGCTACCGGCCCCGTCCCCCGCTCGGCACACCTTTTGACATTTTTGTAAAATCTCACAGCAGACACAGCTCCGACTCTCAGTAGCCTTGATCTAAGTAAGGAGGGGTGGATCTTGCCCAGCCTGAATTCTGTTTCGGGGATGTTTCCTACGGACAGGCGGGCAAGGCCGGTCCCCCCACAACCCACAAGTTGCAGCGTAAAGCTCTTCCAGCTGGCAATCAAACCTCAGGGGAGAGATCCCAACCACATAGAAACCACGCACAAAAGCTGGGCAACCAACCCTGGAGGGCTGTACCACGAGCCCAGGGGACTGACGCCCTGCGTCTGGAGCCCAGGACTGTGCTCCACCCTGCCCCCCCCCCCATGCAACTGCTTGAAGAGGTACTGAGTGCTTACCCCAGACATCGGACTTAATGGAGAACTTGTTGTAAGCGAGGCTTTCGGGTGCCGTCCACTTGATGGGGAACTTGGCCCCCGCGTGGGCCGTGTACGTGTCCCCCGTCATGAGCCTGCTCAAGCCAAAGTCAGCCACCTTCACCAGATGGTTCTCCCCGACCAGACAGTTCCGGGCAGCCAGGTCCCTGGGGGTGAGGGGAGAGAAGGGACACGGTGATGTCTCCCACGGAAGAAGGTGGGCCCTGTGGCTGTGATGGCAGGCGCCACTGGACGCGCCGGAAGGGAATTCTCAGGAACAGGCAGTGGGCAGAGGTGAAAAAGAGTGGAAGGCCGCAGCATAAACAAGAAAGACCAGGAGCGAGCAAGGAGGCTGGTCTGGACTGACTCACCCAGCCCCATTGCGTCGACAAGGCGGTTCTCCGGGGTTTTCAGCAGAAGCTTCCCCAGCCCTACCAGGCCGTGCCAGGGATTGAACTTGCCGAAACAGGACGAGAAAGAAAAACTCAAAACGCTGTGGCCAGCAAATCAGGAAGCCACGCTGCTAGTCCCTGGCAGGGATAAACAAACTGGAGGGTGTTTTGGTGGCGGAACAGCAGCAAGATCATCAGCGAGGGCTTCAGAAGGCCGAGGATGAAGGGAATGTTTCCACACCGCCTCATGTGTAATTGGAAATTGATCCAACAGCAATGCTGCCCTCATATCTGAGCGGGAGGAAGGTATCTCTGCTTCCGTAAGATTTGATCTTTCAGGGGACGGTGGCAAAGTCGGGATCCGGCTCCTGGTTCTTACAGCAGAAAAACATTCAAGAGCAGACAGTCTCCCTTGCCTGTGTACCAAATTTAAGCTTTCTGGATGGTGCAGAGATGCCTTCATTTTGAAATGTATTCTGGATCCTCCACATGGGAGTAATACAGAAAATGTCTCATGTCTGGATTTGTCCAGACATGGTGGAATCTCAGAGAAATGAAGCTGGACTAGCTGCGGCAGTGGAGGTGGACTTCCTGACACCTCTTTCCCACAGCTGTCCCTCCAGGCCCTGAAAATGAGTCAAGAGATCAAGAGTCAAGAGACCTTACTGAATGGTGTGTTGAGAGAGAGTATCCCCAAAACTGGGCAGAGGAAAATTCGGTGGTTTTTCCTTTTGCAAAGCCCTTTCCTCTTGCAGAAGGTAGATGCAACCCCACAGCTGCCAAATTCCAGCTTTCTTAGTCAGGTGGAAGAACTGGAAAGATTCTGACACTCCTCAAGTCAGTGAGTGAGGCCCAACTTTCTTTGTGTCATGCACACCACACAATACAGTGAAGCTGATCAAGTCCCCCTCGAGGTCTGTTATTACATCGCTCAGAGGCCATTTCCACAGACAAAGAATGCAAAGCACTAAGCATAATTGCACCACACTGAAAGGTCAAAATCCTCCAGACAGCAGGACTTGCAAAGACGCTTAACAGAGAATGGGAGAGGCAAGAAATGCAGACAATAGCGGGGGAAACTCAAGGAAGATGACACAGTGAGAGAAGGACGGAAAGCTGGCTGAAAAGGCGCAGAAAATAGAAAAGAAGAAAAAAGATTTCCTGAGCACTCTGGCAAGTGTAACGTGGCGCCCATGAATTGGGGGAAACGGTGTCATTATGGGTGATTTGCCAGCTTCTGAGGAGAGGGTGTGGGAGACTGATTCGACAAAGAGCTGCAATGATTGAAGGCGGAAGAGTTCATTGTGAGCTTTATTGTAAAATCACAGAGGAGTTGGAGGCATTTGCTCACCTCGCGGAGCTGGAGGATGAGGGACGCGGGAAAGAGGTGAGGGAGATGCAGACCCAAGAGGCTCTCAGGGGTCAGGAATGGACAGTGGGCCATTATCTAACCTCCCTCACAGACTCCTCAGCACCATGGAAGGAGGGGTGGACAGTCCGCTGATCAAATTCGCAGACGATACTGAAACCGGGGCAGTGGCCACAACTGAGGAGCAGGTACTCCAGATCCAAAAGGATCTGGACGGACTATGGAAGTGGGCAGGAGACAACAGGATGGCGTTCAATGTGGATAAGTGCAAGGTCTTGCACTTGGGGCATAGGGATGGGTGTCCTAAGTGCAGGTTAGGGGACAAGTGGCTGGAGAGCAGCACTTGTGAAAGGGACCTCGGGGTGCTGGCTGAACATGAGCCAGCAGTGTGATGCGGTGGTCAAGAGGGCGAACGCCACTCTTGGTTGCATAGCCAGAAGTGTGGCTTCTAGATCGAGAGAGGTATTACTACCACTGTATACGACTTTGGTGTGCCTGCAACTGGAGTATTGTGCTCAGTTTCGGGCCCCTCATTACAGAAAGGATATAGCCAGGTTGGAGTCAGTGCAGCGTAGGGCCACAAGGTTGGCGGCCGGTTTGCAGGGGATGGGGTGTGAGGCAAGATTGAGGGAACTGGGTCTCTTCAGCCTGGAGAAGAGGAGACTCAGAGGGGATATGTTGGTGACATACAGGTATGTGAGGGGGTGTCAGAGGAGGTGGGTAGGGACCTGTTCTCCCCTGCAGAGGAAGGCAGGACATGCTCCAACGGAGCCAAGCTCAGGGAGCCAAGGTTCAATTTGGGTGCCAGGAAGCACTTCCTGACAGTCAGGACCCCGAGGGTGTGGAATGGGCTTCCACGAAACGTCATTGAGGCCCCATCGGTGCGGGTGTTCAAGGATGGGCTGGACATGCCCATGGTGGGCATGTCGTGAGTGGAGTCGGCTGGAGCCGGGAGTCAGACTAGATGGCCCAAGAGGCCCCTTCTGACTCACTCTTTGTCCATGTTTCTATGTTGCTGGGTAGAAAGGCAGACAATGGACACAGTGTGCGTCTGTGCCATGGCACTCCTGAAGCGACCCAAACTAGCTTCCTCTTGCTCCCAGTGATGTGGGGTTTCCTGTGGGGAGATGCAACCTTCCTTCCCAGCATCCTGCATCCCGTTCTCCTAGCTTCCAACTCCACTTGGGCTATCCCACTGCTCCTACATGGCTAACTGGTATCAGTGGCCCTGTGAGAAAGAGGATGGAATGAAGAAGACTGAGGCAGGTCCGGGGAAGCTCACCTGTCACCTGAGAAATCAGAGAGCAGGAAGGACGTTCTACCTGCCCTGGAGAAAAACCACTTAATTTTTCCTCTGCCCTCCTCATCTTTTCTTCCTTGCCTGCTGCATCTTTTATAGACTGCAATCCTGCAAGCCGTTACCCTGCTGATTACTGATTGATTGTAAGTCACTCCAAGGGCCTTCTTGGGCTGAGGAGCAGGGCAAATATACTCTAAATAGATAAATAAGATAATTGCAAAGAGTTCAGGCTGGGACACTCAGAGACGAGTTCTCCTGTCCTGCATTATGACGCCCTTATACAATCTACAGTGAAGCGGTACTTGGCATGCTGTAGACCATTCCCATCTTAAAGGGAAGTTTCAGGGCTTCAATAAAAGAGAAGGGGTCGCAACAATTGGGGGTCAGTGTGCGGTGCAGCAGCTGCCCTACACAGAAAGGCTGAAGCCTTTGGGGCTTCACTAGTGGATGAAAAATAGAACAAAGGAGGCGGCTATTGTGAGAATGTGGCAGGGAATATAACATTCTTCCTGGCATGGAAAAGCTGGATAGAGGATCTCCCTTCCTGTCTCTCACATGCCACCTGACGAAGCAGGCTGGGTTTTCAGGACAGACAAAAGGGTGTCCTTCTGTGTGCGGGTATCACTGCGTTTCCCAGCCATGAAATGTGGTGCTAGGAACTGGCTTGGCCTTAAAAACAGATCAGAAATATTTGTGGAGGAAGAACTCCATCCATGGCCCACAGTCGTGATGGCTGCATTTACTACTTCCCGGCTTGGGGGCCTCTGAAAAATAGGCACTTGGGTGCAACTGGGGGAGAGAGGCTGCGATCACTCCGTCCTGCGTCTGGAGCTTCTAAGAAACAGGATGCTGGAGCGGGCGGACTTTCCGTCCGATCCAGCAGGGCTTTTCTTCCTCTCTTAACTCAAAGGAAGAACCAGGGTGCGTGTGATCAAGTGGCACAGCTGCTCTTTTCTGTCTGGAGGAGGGTGGCTACCGGTCTTTTCTCCCAGGGCCCTGGCCCAGTGGACAGACCACAAGCTTTCCACACAAGCTCAACCTCTGGCATTTCCACCCACGGCTGAGGAAGCGGGCTGCTGGAAGCCCTGGAGAGCCGCTGCTCGTCCAAGCAGACCATAATCGGTTACCTGGAGCAAGCGTCTGAGTCAGTGCAACATTCTTACCTGAGCTTCCCCCAGCGCAACCAAGAGGCCGCAAGAGGCATCCCGAAAGCAGCCGCGTCGGCCTTGAAAACATTCAAGGCCCAACGCTCAGCGTTCAGGTTACAGCCGAGCGTCTCCGCAGCGATTCAGAGGCGGGCTCTTGCTGCGATCCAAACGCCAGCTCTGCATGATGGCCACTTTCAGCCCACCTTTCCTGACCTGGCGCCAGACTCCTGCAGTCTGCAGCCCAAGCCTGCCCTTCGCCTCGAGGATGGCCACAAGCAAGAGCTTGCCAGAGGCTGAGCCGTGCACGAATGCGAGGGCGGCAGTGCTTGTGACGCAGAGCATGCCGCACAGAGCCGCAGCAACGCCTCTGCCTCCCGGGGCCTCTGTGGAACGTGGGGGGACGCCTTGGGGGGCGGTGTGTGTGGCGTGGAGGGGGAACAGCTCGGTTTTCTGCCTACCTGTGGATGAAGTTCTTCTTCTCCAGGTACTCCATGGCTGAGGAGATCTGGGTGGCCATGTAAAGCAGCACCACGGCATTCACTTCCTGCCTGTTACAGTCCCGCAGGTAATCCAGCAGGTTTCCGTAGGTCATGAACTCGGTGATGATATAAAATGGGGGCTCCCGTGTACACACGCCTGCGGAAGAATTTGCTTTTTGAAATCCTGCCGATACGCAGTTTATAGAACTTGTGTGAGCGTCGCTCTCGGACCTCAGAGCCGTTGAGGAGTGAGGGCAAAAGAGGAGAAGAGACGTTGCCCGAGAAACTGGCTAAAGATGTCTACGCTTTAGTCCTTTTCACATCCTAAATACGAGTAAGAGGAGTTCATTAAAAACACTGCTCTACTTTTTATAAATTGCCAACTCCTGCCAGAGAACTGAAACGTCTCTCTGTGAAGCCGCAGGATGGTAAGCAGCTTATCTGCTTCTTAACATCCGTATTGCCGCACGGGGCCTTGGTTCAAGTCACCCTGCTCGGTATCTCTGTCACTTACCCAGTAATTGCACCAGGTTTGGATGCTTGATCTCTTTCATGACTGCGGCCTCTTTCAAGAATTCTTCCACCTCCATGGTGTCCTCCTGCAAAGGGAGAAGGGGAGAAGGAGTTGGGCTTTTGTGTGTTATATTAGTAATATTATGATGTTTGTATTTATGTTTTTTCTGTGTTTAAAAAAATAAAAAAGGGGGGGAAAGGAGAGGGGGAGAAGGAGTCAGAGAGGAGTGTGTCGAGAAAAAGAGAACCAGTGCAACATACGGGCTTGCTGTGATGGGGTTGCTGGAATGCCGATAGCCTCACCTGAACCCCACGACCCGGCAACGGCCTGGTTCACACTTAACACTCAGCCAAGGTTTGCTGGCCTACGCAGGGTTTGCTGGGTGGTGAACTGTGAGTTGCTTCAGCCACGGGTGCCGGTATGTGCGAACCCAGAACTATGGGTTGTTCATAGCCTGGTTTGTCAGGCTGCAGAGGTAGCTGGCAAGAACAGGGGAGGGGAAAACAGCCTTTCTGTGTGCCGTCCCTGCAGCGCTGCAAAGCCACTTGGACTACGAGAGGGAGGGAGGTGAAGGAAGAGGGAAGCCACCGAAGGACCGGCCAATGCTATTGATACAGGACATTTATATGCCTCTTTTCCTTTCGCAAGGAACTCAAAGCCCCTCCGCCCCCTTTTATCCTCACTGCAACGACCCTTTGGGGTAAGTTTGACTAAGAATGAGTGATGCCCCCAAAGCAGCCCAACGAGCTTCATAGCTGAGTGGGGACCAGATCCCAGATCTCCTGAGACTGCAGCCTAGCACTCTAACCACTGTGCATCACTGCCTCTCGGGCTGTTGAATTGTCTGCCAGACAACCACAGGTTCTTCTTCTAGGTTGTTCGTGGGTAAGACACTGGGGCTTGTTAGCATGGTGCCATTCACACATCACAACAACCCAGAATCCCAAAGCCTGTACCACCGGCTTGCAGGCCAGAATGACTCTTTTACTGGGGCATTGCCAAGCATCATAACATGGTGACATTCCACCTGTGTGAGTCCCCACCCCTCCCCTCCCCATAAAACATCTTTGGAAAAGCCATGGGCACAACTCAGGAAAGATGCCGAGCAATTAACACCACTGAAATCAATGCCACTTAACGAACTAATACCTCCAAACTACCAACTTTCTTGCAGACACCCCGAGAACCTGTTTACACACGTAGGGAGGGGAGGGGACAAATCAGAGCTTTCGATTGAACTGAAAACAAACCCCCTTCAATATGTGGACACGCTTTTGACAGAGCTCCAATACACTCATTTACTTGCTTTCGAGAGTCTGATGAAAGAATCCACAATAAGATTTTGTCTGAGTTCTACTCAGTGGAATCCACAAACCTTTGCTTATAAAGCCATGCCAAAGAAACAATACCCCAACCCCCTTTTGTCCTCAGTAGCTGGTACCCAAGAGCACAAGACCTCTCGGAATACCGTGGCTGACAGAACAGCAGGAATTTGGGGAACTTCTGCTAAGGACCTCCACCTCCCACCCCACCCCACCCCGCCCAAGTTTTTGGTGCCGTCGGATCCGTGCAGGGACAGTCTGGAATTAAGTGCCTGCCTCTTTTCCAGAGCCTCTTGCATTGCTCCAGTTAAAATTGCATCTCAATGTCATTAGCTGAAAGCCATCGCTGCTCGGCCTTGCATTGACGCCAGGAAGGTACCGTTCCTGCTCAGCGGGGCGTCCAGTCCAAGATAAACACAAGCTGGGTGGCCAGAAGGTCATTTCAAAGCGGGCTGTGCCTTTACACACAGTGCTGCTCTCTGTGCCTAGGGTTCTTAGCATAAGGACTCGACTGGGGCTGGTGGTGAGGCTGAAAAGCCTCGTGATTTCAGGTGCCATGGAGGCGGGAAGAGAGACTTGGCCACTATCTGCTGGAACATGGAGTGCACCAACCATTTTGTCACGAACAAGAGCTGTGAAAGAATGCGACTTTTACTTCCATATTTCTCATCCAACACAGCTCATTAGATTTTGCACTCCTTTTGCGGCGTGTTCCTCCCATCCTGCTCCCATTCCCTGCTCCTTTAGGTTCCTTCTCCCCTCTTTACATCATCCTGTATTTAAAGAGTAATACTTCTGGGTGCATCAGTAAAAATGTACAGTTAAAGCTGGACAGGTAAACAGTTATGCAGAAATTAAAACATGCACATCTCTTTGTGGGCTTCTCGCTCTTTTCCCCTCTTCCCTAGCGGATCACATTTACATTTCTAATTCAAGAAAACTCCCTGCATTAATTCAAATTTATTTGCAAATAGCCAATTGGGGCAATATGCATTTTCACAGGTGCCTATAGACAGTAGTGCCCACATCCAATTGTTCACATTTGGGGTTTCCTTTGCCTCCTGATGTCGCAGCTGTGCAGCCCCATTAAATTCATGGGGCATGCCCCTGCCAGGTTTTATTTGCCCAGAATGTATCCCAGTAAGACATGGGCATCTTTTACCTGGGGGGAAGTTTCTGGCTAAAGTCTCCTGTGGACCTTTATACCTCCAGCCTGCAGCCCCCCGAGAGATCGCTGGGGCTTTGGATTGTTCTGGTGCCCAGCTCTGGTCTGAGAGGGCTGCACGAGACCATGTGCTTTCCAACGGGAGGGCTTCGGCTGAGTTTTGAACTCAGCATGCCATTTAATCCTCGGGGGGTTCCAAGGGGACCTCAGACCAAGCCGCACAAGAGACGAGCCATAACCCACTTTTCAGGGTAACAAAGCCTGCACAAAGCAGCTTAGGACGCACCTCACGAAACAACAGTGAGGTTCATGTAGAACTTCCTGGTGGAATCTCCCCTTTCCCCCTGTGGTTGGATTTTCTTCTGGATTTGCCAGAAGGCCCGTTGCCACAAAGACTTTCCAGGGCTCTGTTTGGCAACTCTGCTTTGTGTCTTTGCTCAAACAGCCTCAGCCCGTTTAGCATTTGCTTTCCAATTACTTTGACTGGCAGCTTTGCATCAGCTTCAGGAGCCTTTTGACATCTTCTTCTCTCCTGCTGACAGCACTTGGGCTAATAAAAATAACCCCCCCATGCGCTTATTCGAGATAGGAACGGGAAACACAAGGATTAAGAAGGCAGCCTGCTAGAACGGCACGGCCATGGACCCTGTGGTGTGGACCGAAACAGGAAAATCTAAAGTTTTGACACTGGGCCTCTTGTCCCCAAAAGCTTCCTCCCCCAACTCTGTGAACACGGTAACAGAATCTACAAAATGCGCTCAAACCAGGGCAGTATTAGGCTTTGGGAACGGGGCTGGTGGGCGATGGACGGCGTTCCTCTGTGCCTCAGATTGGCTTCTTCTCCTTCCCAAAGTCGCTGCCCACTGCTTCCCCAACCCAGCACCCATCAGGCATGCTGGACTAGCCCCCAGCTCCCTGCACCTGGGAGGGCTAACCTGAGAGACTGGCCTTTCCCCATGAGCCATTTAGAGAGTTTCCAGTGAAGGAAAGACTATTCATTGCGATCACGGCCACGGCATGTCCCTTTTTCCTTCTTTTCTCCAAAGGACAACTGGAGGGCGGGAAAGGAATTTGTATAAGCTCCACTACAGAGAACCCACATTTGGGCAAGAATTGGACCCTCAACCCCCCGACCCATCAGCCTCCACCAGACAACCCGGCTTCCCTGGCACCACGTCCTGCGCCCCCATTTTCCTGGTTGCAGTTTGGTCCCCGGGTACCAAGCCTGGAAAACGCCTTGCAGAATGCTTGCCTCTGCTCTGCGATGCCCACCTCCCGTGCTTGCTCCGGAGCACACACGGAACAGCAGGGGAGAGGATGACAGTAACAATAATTTGTTTGCGAACCAACTCAGCATGAAAAGGTTTCAGTCTGGCTGGTCTTCAGTCATCCATGATAGCAGGGCTGGAAAGGGGCCTGGGCCGGGGTCACCCACGGAAAAGGGTTTCTGGAAGCTGCCCGGAGGGATGTCTCAACCCCGAACCCCCACGGAGACCAAACAGTTTATGCTGCTGGATTCAATCACATCACAGGTGTCTCAGCTGGATTGCATGGCCCAAGTACGCATGTGTGCATGTAGGAATAACACACACACACACACACACACACACACACACAGTGGCCCTTATACACTGGGAGGAAAGCTGCCTCGAACACTTTGCTTCCATAATGAGCGACTGATAGAACACTTTTACTGCAATAAATTCTTTGCCTTGTTAAGACAGTTTGCTGTCACACGCTCTTGTGCCTTAGGGGTGAGGGAGAGGGAGCGGCCAAGACGGAACAGGATGATTTGTTTGTTTTGACGCAGGCAGCTCAAATTCCTCAAGTGGGAGCGACTTTGGGGCAGAATCAGAACGGGCTGCCAAAGCGTCGCTTGCAATCAAAGAAATGAAGAGGAGGTGCCGTCCTTTCAGTCTGGTAGTAAATGCAAGCGCCTTCGTGCCACACACGCCAGGCATCGATCTGATTGGATTGCGAGAGAGAGTGTCTTCAATCTGGCCGTAATGACGGTGGGCAGACAGACCATCAGCAGAGCTGTGCTGGATCTCCGTAAGCGCCGCAGTCTGCTCCCAGGATGTGGACAGTAACATCTCTGCACACACTGATGGGACAGAGAGAATGCGGGGGGGGGGGGGGGCAGGAAGCCCTCCAGATGTGCTGGCCTGCAGCTCCCCTCACCCTTCATCATGGCTTATGCCGGCGATGGCACATGGGCGTGACAGGCCAAAACATCTGGAGAGCTGCAAATTGTCCGGCCTCGCTGTAAGGAACCATGGATAACCTTCTCCTAGCGTCTCCTCACCGTCAGGGAAATGTGACAGCTGCCTGGAGGGGCGGTGGGCTCTCCCACACCGGAGACATTCCAAGCAGAACTGCACAGCCACCTGATTGGGAAGGTGCAAACTGGGGTCCTGCGACAGCAGGGGTTGGACTTGATGGCCTTCTTGGCCCCTTCCAACTCTAGGATTCTGTGCCTAAGCCCTTTTCAAGGCAGTTCAAATTGGTAGTGAAGAAATTCCTCTTTGTTTAGAGAAGGACAAATGCATTAAGAAGGTATTTTGTAGAGGTGAAGCAGGTGAGAATTCTGTGTGGACG